AACCAGCAGATCAAAGAGGCCCAAAGGTACAGCTGCACTTTAACTTTGTACAGAGCCGAGCAAACCACGTGTTCACTGAAGCTCAGTAAGTCTAATCTCTGTCAGAAAGGAAACTGTAAGTTTGTTTGAACTGTTTGTTTGTGTTCACACTTTAAACCAGAGCCAGACACCATCTACTCTTTACTGAAGTAGTCCACCAGTCCAGCCACTGACGTCCAGCTGCTGGTCTCTAACTGGTCCTCCCAGCACCTCAGACCAGAGGACATCTATAAATTTTCACTGAGATAATTCAAAAATAACTTCCTGTTTTAACTTGCTTTAAATGTTTTTTTTATTACAAATGAGAATATAAATATATTAATATGATTCATAACTCTATTATTAATATCTTTATTCATGTTTGTTGGTTCCTGCAGTGGGAAATTATTTTCAGCATTAATAAACTTCTCTTCTAGTGTGTTTTAGTGTTTTTCTCACGTGGTCGTGGGCTTCAGAAATATGTGAAATGGAAAATGTGACTTGTTTGGTTGTGGCTAATCGATGCACACCTCCTTACATGCAGAGAAGCTGAACAACCACACGCTAAAAACTGCACAGTGGCTGAAAACTGCACAGAAACACTTCACCACGTGTTTTGCACGTTTGAGGCCGAAGAATTTATTTATTTAGTTTTATTTTTTATTTTACTGGGAACCAAGCAGCAGCAAGTTACATGGCAAAAGTATTCATGTTTAATTATGTTTGAAAATTTAATAAAAAAAATATGCTAAAAATTTCTGGTAGCAGCTTCTCAGCAGAGAGACGTTTTTATATCTGATAAAGTAACTCAGACTAACTTCCTGAACCAGCACAGGGCCCTTCCTGTTTAACCTCTCACAGAAGCTTAAAATGACCACAAGTCACTATCAAAATCTTTTTCCCTCCACTGGTTGATCTGCTTCATTAATGACATCAGTTTAAAGCCACGAGCGAGACAGGACTACTGCTTTAACTGTTTTCAAAGCGGAAGATAAGACAAAAGTTTGTGTTCTAACTGCAGAACAAAGCAAAGACTGAGCAGGTTTGGTTTGTTTAAGGCGGCTAACAGTGAGAGGCCTGCAATAACAACAGGAAATGAAAGAGACGAGCACTACAAACACCTGAATAAGAAGACCGACTTTTAACCAGCGACTTTGACTGAACGTCAAACAGACGTTTGACTGAGAGTTACAGTCGTTAAGCTCACTGTTTGTTACAGGAGACATTTCTCCTCACAAACAGCAGCAGCAAAGTAGAAGTAGAAAAGCAGAAATAAAGGCTGTCAATATTTAAATTTTTAACAGGGATGTTGATGAGTGAATGAATTTAAATTAGAAAAAAGAAGAAATTTCACATTTTCTAAATTTAATTATTGCTAATCATGAAGTTCTGCTGCTTCCTGTTAAAAGCTAGTTCTTCTTTCCCACAGTCACCAACCACTGCTCACAAAGCATTTCATGATTGGTGAGCTTTTCCCTTAATGTTTATGGACTTTAAAATTTAAGGAACCTGTGAACTTGTGTAGAGAGAAAAAATAATACAGTTATTATTAATTCTTCTTCTTTTGGTAAAAACTGGAAAATGCAGGAAAATATTTCACAGATGATTTCTCAATAGTTACAGATGGTGTTAGCGCACAGCTCACTTCCTCTTTGTCATGTCCCTCACTGTGGGCTCACTTTTCAGCCTAAATTACAAAGGCTTCAATGACAGGGCTGTGCATTTAGTGAAACAACATGTCGTGCATAATTACAAGAATTACAAGAAGAGCAAAACAACACAATTTATTTTAACTCATATCTGACAGGAGTTGGAACAAGACATGAACGACATTTTAGACATTTGCTCAACATCTGTTTTATATTTTAAATATTTTGAAACCATTTAGTCACAGCTGCATTCATTAAAAATGTGATTTAAACAAAATATATGTTTTAATATTTTGTGAGTGCATTCGTTTCAGTGTTATATGTGCTGCAGTTGTGGAGTTGAACAGTTCTTTACAACATTCTTGTGTTTAACAGATTTCAGGCTCGGTCCACTAAAACAACACGGCAGTAAACTTGGATCCTTAGAGGTTTTTCTGTTTGTGGAGGTTTGGATGCACACTTGCTCACCACCTCTCTTCTCTCTTTGTCATGGTCGCTGACCCAGTGTTTTTGGTTTTTGCACTTTTACTTTTGATTTGATTGTGAATTACGACAGTGTTTATTCTGTGGTCCCTCTGTTCTGTGTCGTCCCTGCCTGTGTATCCCCTCTAGTGTAGTCAGGTCTCTGTGTAAAGCCGCATCTCTGAGTCTGTCTTCTGTGTTTTGAGCTTCCTGTTTTGTTGTGATGTCCCGTCGTGTCTGGTTACTCCCAGCTGTGCTCTCCCTCTGTGTATTTAAGCCTTGTGTCTGCCTTTGTTGCTGGTTTGTCTGCATTATTGCCCTCCGTCATCCTGTGTGGTTGCTCTGCATCTGGTTTCAGGTTAGCTTTATTCTTAGTTTTCCCAATTTAGGTTTTGTCAGTCTCGCACCCTCGCCTTTTGTTGTATGTCATCCTCCTCAATAAAGCTCACTCTCATCAGAAGCCGTGCTTGCATTTTGGGTCCAGGGATAGCTCAGTAGGTAAAGTGGTCGCCCCATGATCGGAAGGTCGGCGGTTCGAATCCACTTAACGGCTACCCTGAGGTACCCCTGAGCAAGGTACCGTCCCTACACACTGCTCCCCGGGCGCCTGCTTAGTGGGCTGCCCACTGCTTCACTGAGTGAATGGGTCAAATGCAGAGAAAACAAGTAATTTCCCCATGGGGATCAATAAAGTATCCATTATTATTATTATTATTATTAAATAACTTACACCATGCTGTGACACTCTTATTCACTCTTACAGACTGACTGCAGCATTATTTACTTACAAAAATATTCTCCGAGCAATAAACTCCTGCAAAGCTTGTGTTGTGAAATCACTGGATGATTGAGCATGCATCAAGACAAGACGCAGTAAAAAACGAAAAAACAGAACTCGTGAAGTTAAAATGGGTGATAAGAAACAGTAACTTTCCTGTCTCTGTCTAACCTCAGAAAGATTATCACCAGCGAAGCTCCAGCACAGTGTCACTGCATCGATTACACACTAACTTTAAACGTAACTCTTTAACGCCAAAAATCCCTCCCTCCTCAAAAGAAATGAAACTTCTGACAAATTGAAATAAACAAATAAATTAATAAATATGAATTTAAAAACGAGCTTTAATTTGTATCATATTTTGTAACATCCGGCTTTATCATTTTATTTTGTTATTTCAGAGGCAGAAAATCGCATTGACGATGTAGAAGTGTCAAAAAGTCATGAATCAGATGCGACTCTTTGAGAGTCTTTGCTCTCTGTTCATAACTCACCAACACTTGAACCACTTTCTGAACCAGCGAGCGACATGACCAGTGACGTCACTAACCCTTAAATCGAGCTTCTCTACAGCCTTCCTGGACACGCGCTCGGCGGAGTACGCCCCGCCCCCTCGGGTGGTTAATGTTGTAGAAACGTCACATTATCATTAAAGCATTATTAAGCACGCGATCCAAACGCGAGTGATTTCTGCGAATGAGTCCACTTCCTGTGGTGTGAAACTCTGCTTTCATACTAGAATGAACAGCCTCGCCTCTGTCAGTGCGCCCAGCGTGGCTGTGGCTACAATGTAGCTGCCATCACCAGTGTGTGAGTGTGTGGATGACTGGATGTGTAAAGCGCTATACAAATACAGGCCATTTACCATTTAGAAGACGCTAGCATGTATGCTAAAAACAACCATCCTTTTTCAGATCATGATGACGTATTTGTTCTGGCGTGGAAGGGATTTGTATTTTTTAAACGGTTCCACCAACTAAAGGAATGGAGTGAAACAGAGACTGTGATCGTGAACTCTGTGTTTTAAAGGAGCAGCTGGGCCGTGGCTGTGGGTGCAGCAGGAAAATTAACAGCCTTTACAAGCCAGAGCCCACAGACGGGAAACAAAGAGACACAGACTCATACTTTCAAATGAAGACAGTCATTTCTTTAAATGAAGATTTTGGGCTGTTTTAAAACAATCAAAGTAGTTTTAATGTTCACCGTGTTTCAGCCTGAATTAGTTTTATTAGTATTTCAGACTTCAGGATTATCATGAGTGGATTTTACTTCAGTCACAGAGTCTGAATAAATGAGCAGATATCCTGGATCATCTCTGCAGCAGGAACAGGAAGCAGGAGACATGATTTAATTTCTGTGTGTAGCTCATTTATTTAAATCTGCAGCCTTCTGTTGTTCATTATGTTCATCCATTAGTAAATAAAACTGCATTTCTAAAATAAAATGTTTTAAAACTGTTTTATTATTTTGTCTGGTCTTTTTGTTCAGCAGCATTCATGTTTTAGCACAAATACTGTAAAATGGCAGAAATGCTGTATTAAGCACGAATCATATAAAAGGCACAAATACTATATTCGGTAGAAATATGTTTTAGCAAAAGTATGTGGTGTCAGCAGGTTGAGCAGGTCTTCTTTGTGTGTTCTGTGTATCGAGCAGAGCAGAATGAAGGATGATGGCATTGTATTCATTTCCTACATCACCGAATAAACAAACAAACATTCCTGTTACAAAGAGTTTGTGTTTCATTATGTGTTTTTTAAAGTTCGGCTCAGAGAATCGAAACGACACTGAAAACATGCTGTGAATAAAATAGTCAATGAAAACGCTTAAAGACCATTTTAAACCGGATCACTGAACAGAAGCTGCTCCTGATAGTTTCAGCTTTCATTTCTAAGATGTCTCTAAGAATCGATTCATTACTGATGCTCAGCAGAGAAACAAAAAGTTAAGCAGCTCGGCAGTGACATCACTGGAATGTGGCGTTAAACACCTCGAAACGATAAGTTGGCGTGACTCTATCAGTTTTCCTCTGTTTATACCTGCACCGTAAAGGATCCACATGTTACTTCCTGGTATATTTTGGACGTACCGAGTTTAACTACAATGACTCTGTTAACATCAGCTGGTCTCTGCTTAACTCTGCTGTTTGTCTGTGTGGTGGATTTGGCCTCTTCAGGTGAGCTCTCCTTCAGGTACTACTTTCTGTTTGAACTTCATGAACGTTGCTCTCGTTTACTGTAAAACTGTCAAATGCCTTCAAGTCAGTCTATCATTATGTCCTTGAAGTGAACAAAAAGGGTTAAACTGAAAGATACTGTTTTATTCTCAGAAGGATAGATTAAAAAATAAATCAGCTTTTCTGCAGGTCATGTAAGAGTCTCAGGACTCTTGTGCTACGAGGCAGGGGTGCAGTCTGGTAAACAAAAAGCTCTTCTCCCCTCTTTTTACCCAGACCGCCATGAGTGATGTCATTAATAATGGTGTTTACTCCGCTTAAATGAAACTCTTGTTCTCCTGTTTGTTTGGTTGGTTTGTGCAGGTGTGAACACAGCATTCACACTCAGGTGTGACCACAACAACCGATGTGTGAAAAAAACAAAACAAATCAGTTTACAATCTCTAACCAGCTGACTTGCTGACTGCAGGTGTGAAAACGCCATTAGACTCCACCCACCATGTCCCACCTTATCCTGATGAAGCTTCAGAGAAACTGGGACCTTCGGTTTGTTCATGCAGCTCAGATAGAGCAGCAGAAACAGTATAAAGGTCGTGATTTTAAAGAGAAAGAAACGTACAGCTAGGAAATGACATCATCTTAGAAACTGCAGCACAGCAACAAACAGGAGAACCATGATGTTCAGTCACCTTCATATATTCTGATCTTCATTTAGAGAGAATCTGTGTGCAGAAACAACCATGACAGCAGCAGCAAGTCAACTTTATTTATGAAGGACGTTAAGCTCTGAACATATAAATACGTAGTCAGGCTCTCAGACTGAGTGAGTGCATCTCACTATTCAAAGACACTTTTATTTATTTATTTATTGTTAATTTTTATTTTTAAGTTTTTGAAAACAACAGTGCAGCAAAAACAAACAGACGGAGAGAAAAAAACACACACATGGGAAGAGTTACAAAAAGGAAGGAGAAAGGAATAAATGTGAGTATATCAGGGGTCCAAAATGGACCCTAAATGTACCCCAGATTTAGACAATTGCACTATACCGTTTTCGGCAATGCTGGGATGTCCGACTCCTCCAAAGATCCCCGTTTTCCACTTTGCTGATCATTCATTGCTTGCTGATTATTTATTATTCTAACAATTTTTATTCTTATTCTTGTTATTATTATCAGAAACACAAAGACCTTAGATCCAACTGAAAACCTTTAGATCCTCCTGTTCTCTGTTCACACTGATCTCACCTGGCAAAACTATTTTCTGGTGATTTGATTGTAAGTGGGAAGTACCTGCGCAGCATAGGTTACCATGGTAATGTACACAGGTAAGAAGTAAACCACCTTCATAGTAAATAAAGTTCAGAGTTAACCTGCAAGTTATCTGACTAAGTCAAAATGCTGCCTCACAGCACAGACCTGTGACAAGAACTAGAACAAATCCAATTTTTCTCATTTTCTCTGAAATGTGCCAACTTGGCAGTGACGTCACTGAAAGTAGATCGATGAATGAGCATCGATATGCTTTTTATTTTGACTTCATGAACAAGCACCTGAAACTCTGCTCTCGTTTACTGGAAAACTGTTAAATCCCCCCGAGACTCAGTCTGTGCATGATGTCCTTGTAGGGAACAAAAACGGTTAACATACAAAATAAATGAATAAAAATACGCAGCTCGTTGCGCGGTTTGGCTGGAGTGGCGCATTGCAGGTCCTGGAAGGGAGGTTGTTTTTTTTTTGAGGTGAGACAGGAGCTGGGTGTTGTGCCAAAAATGGATCTATAATCTATCCGTGTGTTTTTTTATGTGTAATATCTTTACATATGTTTACAGACTTCAGTGAACAGCGTTTGCAGGGTTATATATAAATAAAATTAAAAAAACTTCTATCTTTGTAGCTCTGTCTTCTTGTACTTCCATTATAACCAATCCAGTCGTTTTGTCCACTTACAGAACTATTGTTATATATGTTGCATATCCTCGAGGCCAGATTACTCTTGAAAAGACATTTTTAATGTCAATTAGATTTTTTTTAACTGGATAAAGAAAGGATATCTGAAAGTCACTGCCATAAACTGATTGCGGCTGCTACCGTGTAACAGGAATGTTGTTTTTGGCTCAAGTTGACTTGATGTCATTCAGGAGGGAAATATTTGATCTGTTTCACATATTCGAAACCAACAAGGCATTTATAGCAGTTTGAATATAAGTAATCAGCGTTTGGCACAACACCTGTTCATAGTGGGAGAGGAGAGGAAGAAGAGGAAGAGAGGATGGATGTATGGTAGGAACTCAGAGCATGGCCCGATGGTTTTGTTTGTCGAGAGACATGAAAAGAAGTTTGGAGGTGTAACATTAGTATTTAGAGATGGACGTTTGTATATAGCTGTTAAGACAGAAGAGCAGGAAAATAAAGTGTTAAATACTGACAGAAGACTGTGACAGAGAAAAATATTGGGGGAGTTTAAAGTAATGTGGGAGGTAATCACAGTAGAGGAAGATTTAGAAAAACAATTAGCCAAAGTAGGGCTCAGCAAGATTAAGAGACTGATGAGAACAGCCAATGAGGAAAGAGCTGACAGAGTGTCTGTAATGCTATATATTGCAATAACCGGTTCTTCCAGGCAGAGTTAGGGTGCCTGAGTTTTCTTGGCGTTCACTTGGATTTTTCTCTCTATGCAAACAAAACAAACCGTGGGGTGAGGGAGGGGACAAGGATACAAACTCATCAGTTCAGTTACTGACTGTAGACTCCGCCCACCACTTTTATATGCTTTATTTTATGTGACATTCAACAGTGAACTTTAAGTTTTCTTTCTCATCCCCCTCCTCTCTGCTCCTCGTCTCTCTGTGTGTCTGACCTGAACCACTGCTCTCACTGTCTTTGGAATATCTGCAGGAGATTCAGCTCCCACATACCGACAGGACATCAATAATTAATAAATGCTGTCTTAGTCTTGCTCTGTAGTTCTTCCCTATCCACACTCTACAGTATCTGTATGGCTGCTGTAAACCAGAGATCCATAACTCTAATTTCAAAGGACACAAGGACATAAAACCTGTTAGATGAGTCAAACCTGATAAACTGCTTCAGAGTTTTGGTGACTATAACAGATGCACGATGGAGCGACCACATAGCGCACTTACAACACTTTTATTTTCGGTTCTCGGAACAACAACCACCTCAGGACCCACTTCGCTCTGCTTTTAAGTCGCTGAGGCGTGATGAGCTGATGCCACTCAGGTGTGTCGGCCTCCCTCGCGCCACAGTGACTTTGTCCCAAAATAAAGTCCAAGAAGTGTCAGCAGAGCTCACTGGTCTCAGATCCTCTCTCTGATTGGCTGCTGTAGAAGTGAACAATTGCACTTTGACTTTTAACCTCTCTGCTCTGTGTGGTTTCCTCTATCAGAGCAGACAACCATCACAGCTGAGTCTGGACAGAACGTCACTCTGACATGTGGAGCTCCATCAGACAAAACCATCAGAGCTGTGAAGTGGAGCAGAGCTGACCTGGGAGATGAATATGTGCTTTTGTACCGAGATGAGCAGTTTGATCCAGACGAACAGCATCCATCTTTTAAGAACCGGGTGGATCTGCAGGACAGACAGATGAAGGATGGAGACGCGTCTTTGATTCTGAAGGATGTGACGACTGCTGATGGTGGATCATACAAGTGTGGTGTCCTTGTGGGAGAATCAGCATCATGGGAGATCGTGGGAACCGTCAACATGAGTGTCGCTCCTCCAGGTGAGTGATCAGAGGTGAAGCTGCTTCCTGGTTGTTAGACTTTACCTGATTGCGGACACGTCTCCTTTTTCTCCTGCAGGTCACACAAAGGATGGATCTAAAGGACAGATGAATCATCTATCAGGTTCTGGTGTGTTTCTTCTTCTTTTCCTTTTTCTTGTTGTCACTGCTGCTCCTGTTTGTCGTTGGATTTTCATCTCCAGAAAATTAAAAAAGAAAATATTTCAGGGGTCATACTAGTCTCCTGATGGTTTAAAAACACTATTTAAAAATGATGTTGGTTCAAAAAGATGAAGAAACAGATTAGGTGGTCTAATTCATGATGGTTACTATGTAACACTGTGATGATGGAACAACCAGAAGGAAGGTCAGCATAAAAAACAGGAATGTTTCAAAAAAAATGAAGGTTTAAACAACTCTTAGGACCTCTAACCCTCGAAATATGAAAGGATTTATTAAATATATTGAAGGTATTAATAAAACCATGACCTCATGCTTATGAGTAAACTTTAACCAAACTCCGTTTCATTTTCACCTGTGCTTTAAATGTATATAAAACCAACGATGTGGTTTTTGGGAGGTGGTGCAGCAGTGATGTTGTGTTGCTGCTGCTGGAGTTTCTCTCTTTAAGTCAAAAACAGACACCAGAGGAACACAGTCACATCTGCACAGGAGGACATACCTAACCGACCAATCACAGTCATCGTGGTCGACACAACATGCAGCTACATTTTCATGTTTGTATGTGACAGCGTTACAGGATCCCTCCGAATGTGGAGCTGACATGGATAAAATGGTGACAAATAAATTTTAAATAGGAATTTTTTTTATTTTTAATCTAACTTTTGTATTTTTTTTTTATCATTGAAACAAAGTATAAAGCTTCTTCTTGTGTTTATTTGTTTATTTTATTTGACAATGCTAAGATCAGTATAACAGATGTGCTGCATACAGTAGATGATTTGTTGCTTTGGGCACTTCTTAAGCTTTTTATCTTAAAATGTCAGACTGTAACTTCACTGCTGAGCCTCGAGTTAAACTGTCTGTGGAGGAAACTTCACAGTGAAACTCTGAGCTGAGGAACAAACAAACTCTTCATCATCCTCAGCAAACAGCAGAGTCTCATCCAGTGATGAAAACAGACACCAGAATTCCTCACAATGTCCCAACACAAGCACCGAGATGGTTTTTGCTCCTTTATCATCATCATCATCATCATCATCATCATCATCATCATTATTATTATTATTATTATTGTACTTTTTTCTTTTATTATGTTTCCCGCAGTCATGTGCATCTTGTGCCAGATTGTTGTGCACCAACATGCTGAATAGAAATCACTTTTTTGCAGTTCTTCATAAATCTGAATTTAAAAAAATGAGTTTTTTCATCCTGACATCTATCAGCTTCATGTCTATGTTCACTGTTGCCGTCCAATCAAGGCAAAATGCCAAAGAAGTAATGTTCAAAAATAAGGTTTGATGCTGATACCTCTTCATGCCACTTTATATGAAACAGCTCATCTCATAAATCAACCAGCAGAGGGCGATGGGGAGCCCGTCCATCCAATGCTTTCCCTTCTCTTCAAATAGAAAATAAATAACTTCTCACTACTGTGTAACATCTGTCCGTGACTGATAGTCAACTGTGTGCTGTTCGCTTTCACAGCACTAACAGTGTGTTTACAGGAGGTACTGCACGGTGGATCAATCTGATGCTATTTTTCTGTGTTCATGACTCCATCAGTTTTAACACGATCACCAACAGCACCGGCTGAAATGAAGCTCCAACCCACAACAGAGCCTCCGCCCTGTTTTACAGCAGTAGAAGCTCACTGTTGTAACCTCTTCCTCCGAACATACTGATGATGATTTGAACCAAAACTGTAAAATTTGGATTCGTCACATTATAAGACCTGTTGCAATTTTCAGTGCAGTTGAAATGCTGCCTTTTCATGCATCGTTTTTCTTTAGACCTGATACTTCTTCTCTCCTCGACTTCTCCTGTTTCCACTTTAACCTGAGTTTTGAGCTTTTAAGAATCACTTTGTTGGTGCAATAACATTATACCATAAAATTTATTTATGAAGCACTTTAACATAAAACCAGAGTTGACAAAGTGCTGTACATGCAAATAGCATAAGCAAAGTAAAAATAAAATAAAACTAAGATAAAATAAAATAAAACATGTTAAAAACAAATTGAGTCAGTCCCCTTAAACAGTGCCAAAGGCTTCAGCAAATAAATATGCTTTAAACTAAAAAAAAAAAAAGAGGCCTTCCTAACGTGCAGATCATTCCACAACATTGGAGCAGCTACTGCAAAAGCACAATCACCATTATGAGATTTAAAAACAAATAAGAGAATTTTAAAAACAATCCTAAAATGTTTCAGGTAGCCAGTGGAGTTAAATTAAAATGGGGATAATGGGCTCAGACTTTTTTGTTCCAGTTTAAAGACGCGCTGCAGCATTTTGCACAACCTGCAGACGCCTAATGGACGCATCACTAACCCCACAGTAAAGTGCGTGACAATAATCCAGCCTAGATGTAACAAAGGCATGGATTACTGTCTCAAAAAGCTGTTTTGATAAGATGGGCTTTATTTTGGCTGATTGCCTCAAATGAAAAAAACTAGATGTTACAACAGCTCTGACCTGGCTTTCAAGTTGAAGATCTGCCTGCATTTTAACTCCCAGATTAGTGATGACTGGTTTAACAAACTGTGCCAGCAAACCAAGATTTGTAGTAGTGGCCTCAGAAGTGCCACCAAAAACCATCTCTTCTGTTTTCTGCTCATTAAAATGTAAAACGTTCAAAGTCATCCAGGCACTTATTTCATCTGAGCAGAGGGTCTACTGAGAAGCCATTTATCTTTTTAAGTGGGAAATAAATCTGGGAGTTTGTGTCTGTCAAACTGTGAAATCTTTGGCAGGTTTCCTAAATTTAACTAAAGAAATGTCAACAAATGTGTTGTTGTGACAGACTTCAGGTAACAAAGTCTCTAAAGTTACAGTTTAACATTGGTTCTCTGCTTAATTGAAAAATGTGTATAAACAAACTGGTTGATCCCTTGAGTTCCTTTTAATGCCTGAATGATTCAGGCTCAGCTAATAGGACTGTGTTAAAAATGAGTGTAAAAGTAGCCAATGTCCAAAGACAAACCTTCATCCTGGAGAACTGTTGCTCACGATCGCGTTTAAAAAATGCCAACAATGTGTCACCGACTGGAGGCAAAATAGGGAGAAATTTATGTTCATAGTTATATATTAGAATAAAATTTATCACATGAATCTTAATGAATTTAGCGATCCACCACTGTTTGTACGAATGGAGGAAGAAAGCGTGCTCAGAGGAAGAGGGCGGGCTTTACCTGGTGTCAGTGACAGAAATGAAAAAAAGCTCAAATCATCCACTCGTCATATCAACACAGCTGAGAAGCTGAAACATGAAATTTAACATGTTCATCATTTCAGTCAGCTGTAACTGTCTTTACAGTTTTGTGCTGCACATGATGACCGTTACTCTCTGAGCTGTTTGTGGTTTAAGCAGAAACTAAAGCAGCTAAATTTTCTGTTTTGGGAGGAAAAGGAAAGAAAAGAGTTCCAGCTGTTCCAGCTGCTGATGTTAAAAAGAGGAAGTGAAATGTCTGAATCCTCCATAAACAGGCCGTGAATCTAAAGCTGTTTAATGAAATATGATCTGTTTTAAATACATTCAGTGAACTCACTCCAGTGTTTCTTTTACTTTTTTATCATATTTATGTGACACCGACATTTCCATCTGTCAGATTGTAACTGACTACTTTTACTCTGCTTTTGTAGTATTTCTACTCACTGACACCTTAATGTTACATTCAGCTGAGCTTGAACGTGAACATCTGACTAATCAGTGGCCTGTGGAGCCACGAGCCTCGGACCATCATCAGCAGCAGGTTTGTAGTTTTGAGTTACATGAGCGCAGTGATGGCGGCGATTTAAATATTAAATTATATTAAATTATTTTATTTCATTAAAATAAAATACTAATAATAATTTGTAGAATTTGTACATTTTTACTAAAGTATTGCATTAAGTTTTTAAGCTCATGTGATTAAAAATAGTCCAGCTGCAAACATCTGCTTCTTTATTCTTCCTCTTTTCTCGATGGACATGTTGTCAGACTCCTACGTGTCCTCATAGTTATCTCAAACCATTTTTAAAAAAGTAAGGAGCTTATAATGCTACCCTGAAAAGTTCATCTTCACCTACAAAACAGCAGAATCCCCATTTATCAGGACCCATCACAGATTCAGCTCTTCTGTGCTAAATAGTCCATCTTTGTAGAACAGGAGTGTTAAACGAGGCCAAAACACAAAATATGTTTTTAGTTGCACCCAAACAGGAAAACAGACCGAAACAGAAAGAGCCAGACTACTGTCATTGTTCTCAACAATATATATTAACTTTTAAATATTTTCATTTTCCATCAAAATCTCTTCAGGATAAATTTCAAATATTAAAATACTGATGAAAGCTTTAAAAAAAATGTTGTTTCTGATCTCATGAAAACAACAACTTTAAGCTCACATTCAGACCTTTGGGACTCAGTCAAGCTCTCAGACACTGAGCCATGACTCTGTGGTGCATCTCATCCAAATACACGTTTTATATCGTTTATTTCATGAATTATTCAACACTGAACTGTAAATTCAATCTGTACATGGATCCCAGCCTGTCTTTGTATGTCGAATGTATTCAGCTCACTTCTGGTTCCCTCTCTATGACCCCTCGCCACTACATGCTGTTCGTTCTTGTTTTCCTGTCCCTCCCTCTTTCATTCACATTGATGAGGATCTGCCCGGACTAGTAGCAGCCACCTGTGATCGCTGAGGCCTTCCCCAAACTGCAGCCTCAATTCATCTACTTGAAATGCTGTCGAACCTAAAATGATGATGTGGTCTCAGCAGGCTGAGCAGGTTTTTATTTGCATGTTTCCAGCTGATTCAGAAACTCTTCAGAGTAAAATGAAGGACGGTGATTTTCTACATATTTTATATCAGCAAATAAACACATGAACATTGCTGTTATAAAGCGACTCAGCTTTTGCTTAATTCAAGTGAGTGCATGTCTACTGATCTCTAATCACAGCATAGGTTACCATGGCAATGTACAGGTAAGAAGTGAAGCACATTTATAGTACATTACAACCCAAGGTTTACCCTGAAGTTATCTCAATAAGCCAAAATCCTGCCTCACAGCAC